GGGGCCCTGGCCAGCCCGTGGATCGGGCCCTCCGTGCACCCGGCCGCCCGCCGGCCCGCCGCCACCGCCGCCACCTTGTAGTGTCCCGCGAGCCGGGAGGAACCTCGGGATTTCCATGTCCGCGTCGGTGAGGCTCCGCTGGAACCACAGCAGCGGAGGAGGCGCGACCCCGCCCCCTGCCGCGGGCCCGAACACGTTCCTGAAGGGAAAAAAATGTGCAATGCGCAGAAACCGGCCCTATCAGATATTAAAACGTATTTAACGCCACAGCGATTTAAATATTCTGGTACTCACACGAGACAAAACGGGTCTCTGGAACAGAACAGAAAGCCCAGAGGCAGAGCCTGGTATACATAAATAATTTCCACAATTAATATTATTAGATGATCAAGGGAGTAATGGGGAAATGACAGCTTTTTCAGTAAATGGTACTGGTATAGACAGGTATCTATCTGCTAAAGGCAACTTAAGTCCATGCCTCGATGTATCTACCATAAATAAACACTCCCCTAGCCCCTTCTAGTGCTAAGCATGGTGCTTAGTTCTTCCTATGTGCCGAAAACTGCTGAATGAACTGATGGATGAATGGATGACAAAGTTACTGAGAGAATAAACTGCGCTAGCATTTCTACTGAAAACATAGACCCCCCCCCCCAACTTCAACACCTAGAAGAACTGTCTTGAGCAAGGTCCTAGGCGAAATTTGTAATGATTAGAATGAGTAAGAGATGGGGCTAAAACAGATTAGCACTGTTCAGCCTAGATATGCAAAGCCTGGACGATGGAACAATTTATACTGAAATCGAAAACCCCAACCCGCTCCTGGGTTCTCCCTATACAGTGCACAACCAAAACCAACTCTTTGCCCTACCACCTTCAGTTACCCTCGTGGTGAATTTCATGTCCAGTCTCGAAGCACAATGAGCATATTCCTCAGCATACTCTAAATTCTCCAGGGAGTGCGGGTCTCGGGACAGGATGCACCAGTTAAATGTGATAAGGGTAAACCCTAAGTCACTGCAATAGACTCTCCCAAGAAAACCCGCACAGAGGACCTTGTCCAACATCCCTGGGGTGCCTTGCTCCCATTTAAGTGTGGTGGTCCAGTCTCACTGCAATGGACTAGGCCTAACAATCTTATTAATTATGATGACAATCCTCCAATTTGTTTGTCATCAGTGAGTTGGAACTTGATTCAAATATAGGGTAAAATGTCTATAAAGAGAAGGATTTAGGGTGATAACTAGATGATGGATACCTATAGTTTAAATATCGCTGGGTGGTGTAAATGGTTAACGCACTCGGCTGCTAACCGAAAGCTTGGAGGTTTGAGCCCGCCCAGAGGCACCTAGAAAGAAAGGCCTGGTAATCTACTTCTGAAAAAAAATCAGCCATTGAAAATCCTATGCAGCACAGTTCTACTCTGACACACAAGGGGTCGCCATGGGTCGGAACAGACTCTATGGCAACTGGTTTGGGTATTATGGTATAGTTTAAATAATCCATGCTTTTCCCCTCTTTTAATGATAATAGACACTTGTGTCTTGATTAGAAGATCAATTTCTTCATCCATAAAAATTCAAATGTCATCAGAATTGCTTCACTTTTTTCCCTTACATTTCAAAATCTTTTTTTTACACGTCTTAAATATGAGATACAGAAGAAGGCATAAAACATATCTGTACAGTTTAGACAATTATAAAAGCAAACACCTATGTAACCAGGTCCAAGATCAAGAAATGGACCATTGCCAGCCTTCCTGAAGCCCACTGTGTACTCCTCCAAATCACAACCCACTCCCTCCCGTATGGATATAGTCACTATCCTGACTTTGTTGATGATCATTTCAGTGCTTTTCTTTATAGCTTTCTCACTTTTGTATGTATCACTTTTGAATGATTCCCTTTACAGCTTGCTTCTCTTTCAATGATTATTATATTTGTGAGACTCATCCATGTTGTTCACAGTAACTGTAGATCCTTTGTCTCCAGCGTTGAATGTTATTCCATTGCATGATTACAGAAAAATGATTATAGTATGCTTATACCATTCTACAGTGGATGGACCCTAGTGTTGTTTCTAGTTTTTTGACTATAATTATGAACAATGCTGCAATGAACATTTTTGTATACTTCTCATAAGGCACATGTGTAGAAGTCTCTCTAGGGTATAAACCCAAGAATAGAGTCACTGGGGACATAGGGTATGCATGTCTTCCTCTTTATTAGATAATGTCAAATTGTTTTCTATAGTGGTTGTGCCAATTACAATCCCACCAGCGACGTAGAGAGTTCCTGCTGCTCCATATCCTCACCTACACCAAGTATTGACAGAATTTAATTTTTGCCAGTCTGGAGGGTGTGCAATACCCAAGTTAGTATTAAGTTTTAGCATGTTTTCAAGCTTATGGGTCTTTTGGATTTTCTCTTCTATAAAAGGCCAATTGAAATCCAAGTCTTTTTACTCATTTGTTCTATTTTCCATCGTGTACTTATTGATTTATAACGAATGAATGTTCGTAATGAATGAACAAGTCAGTCTTAAAGAAATACAACCAGAATGCACCTTAGAAGCAAGGATGGCGAGACTTTGGCTCGCTGACTTTGGACACATCAGCAGGTAAGACCAATGCTAGCGAGAAGGACATCATGGTTGGTAAAATAGAGCGTCATCAAAAATGAGGGAAATCCTCAATGAGATGGATTGACACGATAGCCGAAACAATGAACTCAAACATATCATGAAGATGGCAAAGGACCGGGCAATGTTTCCTTCCCTTGTACGTAAGGTCACTATGAGTGGGAGTCCACTCGAGGGCAACCCAACAACAACAACTTACTGATTTAATGGGGTCATCATATATTTTAAATACCAGTCCATTGGTGGTTATACGTATGGCCAAAACATTCCATTGTCCTGTTGCTTGTATTTTCATTTGCTTTATGCTATCTTTTGTGAACAGACGATCTTAATTATAATAAAGTCAACTTATCATTCTTTTCCTTATGGTTAGTGTTTTCTATTTAAAAAAAATTGTCCCTACCTTGGGACCCTGAAAATATTCTCTATTTGTCTTCTAAAATATTTACGGTTTTGCCTTTCACAGTTAGGCCTTAATCCACCTGCAATTGATGTATGTGTATGGTGTTGAGTAGGGTTCCTTTTTTTTTTTCTTAATAGAAGTATTCGAGTGCTTTAGTAAACCACATACTGAGTAGTCTGCCCTTTTCTAACTGGTTTGCAGTGGCATATTTGTTATAAATCAAGTATCTACTACTCTCTATTAAGTACCTTGGCTCTATTCATCTGTCTCTGTAATACCACACAGTCTTAAGCACTACGGTTCTGTAGTCAGTTCTGATACTTGATGCAAGGCAATTATACCTTGTTCTTCAAAAATGTTTTGGCTATTTTTGGCCTTTTTCAATTGCATTTAAATTATTAATTTGACATAACAAGTTCAACCACGAGTTTGGTTGGGATTTTAATTAGGATTTTTTCAATTTTGAATCTTCGGTGCATGAATGTGGTTTATCTCTTCTTTTAATAAAATTTTCTTTAATGTGCCCCAACAATATTTTTCCCATAAGAGATAAATAAAAGTTCGGGTACTTCATATTTTGCAAATACTATCTCTGACATTTTTATTTTCTAAGTTTGTTGCTGGTAAATAGCATGTTTAGTATGTTTACCATGTTTGTATGTTGGTTTTGTAACCTACAAACGTCTAAAGTCTCTTATTGAGTGTAATAATTTGTCTGTAAATACTTGTAAGATATTATGTACACAATCACATCATCCGCAAATAATGCCAGTTTTACGTCTCCCTTTTCAAACACTGTATTTCTTTTTCTTGCCTTACGGCACTTGCTGGGACACTGTTGAGTAGAAGTGGTGATACTCGATATCCTTGTCTTTATGCTACTCTCAAAGAGAAAACTTTCAGCGATTCTCTGTTAAGGATGATGTGTGCTATAGACGTTGTGAAGACAGCTGTAGCAGTGTAGATCCAGTCAGGACATAGAAAGTACACAGTGATCTAAATAGGGGAAGTTTAATACAAAGAATTATTAAACTATGATAAAAGTATAATATATTGGACATAAGTGATATACACCAACCAGTTGCTGTCGAGTCTGATTCCAACTCACGGTGACCTTATGTGTGTCAGAGTAGAACTGTGCTCCATAGTGTTTTCAAAAGCTGTCTTTTCAGAAATAGATTGCCAGGCCTTTCTTCCAATGTGCCTCTGGGTGGACTCAAACTGCCAAACTTTCTGTTAGCAGCTGAGTATGTTAACTGTTTGCACCACATAGGATATAAGAAAACTCTACATGGTACCCTAGGGCTGGGGGAGAGTACCCAAGGAAAGATAAACTTGGAAGAGGGCCCCCTTCCCAACGCTGGGGTTCAAACCTTACTGGAGAAAATGTAAAATGGTAGAGAAGTTTGCTGGTTTGCTGTAACCAGAGCTGGTCTACAGTTGCAGGGCAAAAAGGAAGCAACCCTGCGGAGCAAAGTGGCATTGTCAACCCACAACTGGTGGCCAGTGTGTGGACATACAGAGGGGTTAGGGGGGTGCTCGTGCAGTATGAGGCCTGGAGCACACAGTGTCCCTGTGCTCAATGTCAGGAGGGCTTCAGCGTTGGGAGGGCTGCAGAGATGAGAGGATTACAGGAGATGAACCTGGTAATAGGGGAGGGGGAAGCAAAGGACCAGAGGGAATCAGTGGGCATCAGGCTTGGAGCACAGAATGTTCTCAGGCTGCAGGAAGGTGATCAGTAGGTCATACAAGGACTGTAAGTTCACCGTGGGATGGTTGTTCTAGACGCATGCGCGGGACAGAGCACTCCGCATGTACTCACACCCAGACTACAGACCCACCTTTCTACAGCCAGAAATCACAGGAGATCCACTTCCTCCTTCAGTGTCCCTACAGCACCCTCTACTGGGAATGCATAATATTGTGCTCATTTTAACCCTTTCATGGGTAAATTTTTTTTGGAATTTTTGGTGATGCCATGTTTTTTCCACTAATGGAATGGTTGTTGAATCATTGTTTGATGGTAGCTTTTTATTATTTGAAAAACTGGGGTGCCAATTGCAAGCAGGGCATATCAGTCCCATGTTCCATGACGCACATCACACACGAGGGACATATCTGTCCCATGGCGCATCACATTTCCTGGTTACACTTGAGCCATGAAAAATCTTACTCAATTTTCCCAAAATACACAAAATACTAAATAAGCATCTCACTTGCTTCACATAATTGTTATCAGTTTGATTTAGAGTGGGCCACATCAGTACTACGCTCCATGAAGCTCATCACACTCGTGGGACATATTGGTCCCACGGCCCAGGAAGTGCGTCACAAACTGTTTTCACCCCAAAAATAATTCATTTGCTTGAATATTTTTGAATGCCAGTAACCATACCTTCCCAATAATATGAAGGAAATAGTAAACACACTTGCAAGCCTTGTCTCACTGTACAGAAGCCAAAAGACATAAAAGTTTCACACAACCACTCTTCTAGGAAACATCCCGTCTCAGGAATGGCTCTCAGCACTCAAATGTGGCATGGACCAACATCCTTCTTTTTTAGCCAGTGGCACCAGTATCTGCCTCAACACCAGAACTTGCTAAAGTGGCTCAAATGCTTGCCAATAAACCTCCAGGGGTGGAAACATGTAACACGGGCATATATACCCCATGGTCCCTGAGAGGAGAAACGCTTAAAGGAATTCATCCATTATCAGAGAGCACATATTGAAGAGTGACTTTGGAGCTGAGAGGCAATAAAATGATAACTGACTTTGTATCCTTTATTAGGTTATAGGAGTTCCCTTCTATTCTTAGTCTGTGTGAGTAGTACCCACTACAGGAGATGGCTTCCCAGGGTTATTGCTGTTAGCTCACACAAGAGAGACCGTCTACCTACCATCCTGTTGTTCCTCTGGTAAACTAATGATTAAAGCAGCAGTTCTAACTGGTTTAGGAGTTTTAATAGACTGCTTAGGATTCTTGGTGGGTCCAGGGTTCCTTGGCCTGAACTGAGTTTGCTG